TTTTTTTATTAGTGAAACACCATGAGGTACAGTTATAGGCTTACAAATTTTGTGCTTGGGTTTCAGTTATACAATGATCAAGTGCCCATCCCTCCACCAGGGCCCGTCATCCATCACCACGGGTCCCAGCATCCCCCCACCCCCCATCCCCCCGTCCCATCCTGCCTCTGTGGCAGGGTATTCCCCCTTGTTCTCTCTCTCTTCTTTTGGGTACTGTGTTTTGCAAGAGAGGCATTGAGTGGCAATCATGTTTGGTCTATAGACTACTTTTAGCATGCTTCTCCCACCCTGGGAGGGTCCTCACAACACCCTTCATTTGGTGCTCTCTTCTCTATCTGAGCTTCCTTTTCACCTAGAACGTGTGGCTGGCCTTCCATTCATGGAGCAAAATTCCTGGTACTAATCTCAGCCATTCCTGGGTGTTAATCTCCCTTTTTATTGCTTTATGTACCCCAGATGAATGCAATCTTTCTGTGTCTATCCCGCTCTTTCTGACTCATTTCGCTTAACATGATACTTTCCATGTAGTACCACTTGTATGTAAATTTCATAACTTCATCTTTTCTAACGGCTACATAGTACTCCATTGTGTAAATGTACCAAAGTTTCTTTAACCAGTCATCTGCTCTTGGGCACTCAGGTTTTTTCCAGATTCTGGCTATTGTAAAGAGTGCTGCAATGAACAAACAATTGCAGATGTCACTTCGACTATACCTTTTTGCCTCTTTGGGATATATTCCCAGGAGTGCTATAGCCGGGTCAAACGGCAGATCAAATTCTAATTTTTTGAGAGTCGTCCATACTGTTTTCCAAAAAGGTTGGACCAGCCGGCATTCCCACCAGCAGTGAAGGAGGGTCCCTTTCTCGCCACATCCGCGCCAGCATTGGTTGCTTTCGTTCTTGTGGATGTGGGCCAGTCTCTGTGGTGTGAAATGATATCTCATTGTGGTTTTGATCTGCATCTCTCTGATGATTAGTGATGTAGAGCATTTTCTCATGTGCCTTTTTGCCATTCGAATTTCTTCTTTGCGAAAGTTTCTGTTCATTTCCTCACCCTATTTTTTGATGGGGTTGGGTGATTTCTTCTTGTGGAGTTTAACCAGTACCTTGTATATCCTTGATTTCAACCCCTTGTCGGATGTGTATTTGGTGAATATCCTTTCCCATTCTGTAGGCTGTCTTTGTATTTTGGTCACTGTTTCTTTGGAGGTGCAGAAGCTTCTTAGTTTAAGATAGTCCCATTTGTCTATCTCTGTTTTCACTTGCTTGGCCAGTGGCGTGACATCTTTGAAGATACCATTAGCTTCAATATCATGGAGAGTTTTGCCGACTTTGTCTTCAATAAACATTATGGATTCTGGTCTGATGTTGAGGTCATAAATCCATTTTGATCTTACTTTTGTGCATGGTGTTAGGCAGAGATCTGATCCCACTTTTTTGCATGTAGCCGTCCAATTTTGCCAGCACAGTTTATTGAAGAGGCTTTCCCTGCTCCATTTCACTTTTCTTGCCCCCTTATCAAAGATTCGATGATTATATGTTTGGGAGGAAATGTCAGTATATTCAACTCTGTTCCATTGGTCTGCAGCTCTGCCTTTGTTCCAGTACCATGCTGTTTTAATTATTACTGCCTTGTAGTAGAGTTTGAAGTTAGGGAGGTTGATTCCTCCCATTTTCTTTTTCCCAAGAGTTGCTTTAGCTATTCGTGGGGGCTTATTGTTCCATATAAATTTCAGGAGTGTTTGCTCCATTTCTTTGAAGAATGTCATGGGTATCCTTATAGGGATTGCATTGAATTTGTACAGTGCTTTGGGAAGTATTGCCATTTTGATGATGTTGATTCTCCCCATCCATGAACAGGGGATATTTTTCCATTTCCTCGTGTCCTCTTTTATTTCCTGAAGTAGCGTTTTGTAGTTTTCTTTGTACAGGTCCTTTACTTCCTTAGTTAAGCTGATTCCTAGATACTTGATTTTCTGGGGCACAATTGTGAATGGGATTGTTTTCTTGATGTCACTTGCTTCTCTTTCACCATTTGCGTATAGGAATGCCATGGATTTTTGGGTATTGATTTTATAGCCTGCCACTTTACTATACAAGCCTATTGTTTCTAGGAGTTTCTTGGTAGAGGTTTTAGGGTTCTCTAAGTATAGTATCATGTCATCTGCGAATAGTGAGAGCTTAATTTCTTCTTTCCCTATCTGGATGCCCTTAATATCTTTTTCTTGCCTAATCGCTATTGCAAGTACTTCCAGTACTATATTGAACAGTAGTGGAGAGAGTGGGCATCCTTGTCTCGTCCCTGACCTTAGGGGGAAGGGTCTCAGTTTTTCCCCATTGAGGATGATGTTTGCTGTAGGTTTGTGGTAGATGGCTTTAACTATATTGAGGAAAGTCCCCTCTATCCCCATTTTGGCAAGGGTTTTCATCATGAATGGGTGCTGGATCTTGTCAAAAGCTTTCTCTGCGTCTATTGATATGATCATATGATTTTTATCTTTTCTTTTGTTGATATGATGGATTATGTTGATTGATTTCCCAATGTTGAACCATCCTTGCATCCCTGGGATGAATCCCACTTTGTCATGATGTATGATCTTTTAGATGAGTTGTTGTATTCTATTGGCTAGTATTTTGTTGAGAATCTTCACATCCGTGTTCATCAGGGATATTGGCCTGTAGTTTTCTTTTCTTGCGGTGTCTTTGTTTCCTTTTGGTATTAGAGAGATATGGGCTTCATAGAAGCTGTTTGGGAGAGTTTCTGTTTTTTCAATTTCCTGGAAAAGCTTGAGAAGACTTGGCAATAGGTCCTCTTTAAATGTTTGGAAAAATTCGCTAGTAAATCCGTCTGGGCCTGGGCTTTTGTTTTTGGGAAGACTTTTGATTACAGTTTCAATTTCCTTGATGTGAATAGGTCTATTCAGGTACTCTATATCTTCTTGATTCAGCTTTGGGAGATGGTAGGAATCCAGGAATTTATCCATTTCTTCCAGGTTCTCGTGGCATACAGACTTTCAAAGTAGTCTCTGATGATCTCTTGAATTTCTTTAGTTTCTGTTGTGATATCCCCATTCTTATTTCTGATTCGATTTATTAGGGTTCTCTCTCTCTGTTTCTTTGTCAGTGTTGCTAGTGGTTTATCTATCTTATTTATTTTCTCGAAGAACCAGCTCTTGGTTTCATTGATCTTTCGGATTGTTTCTTTGTTTTCCATGTCGTTGATTTCTGCTCTAAGTTTTATGATCTCTTTCCTTCTGCCTGATTTAGGCTCTTTCTGTTGATCCTTTTCTAAGGTCTTGAGCTGTGAGGTCAAATTGTTTATATGCATAATTTCTATCGACTTAAGATATGCTTGCAGAGCTATAAATTTTCCCCTTAATACAGCTTTCGCTGCATCCCATAAGTTCTGGTAGTTTGTGTCTTCATTCTCATTTGTTTCCAGGTATCTTTTGATTTCATCCTTGACTTTGTTCCTGACCCACTCATTGTTCAGCATCGAGTTGTTTAATTTCCAGGTGTTTGATTTGGTTCTCCGTGTCTTTGTGTGATTCACTTCTATCCTCAGTGCATCATGGTCTGAAAAGATGGCTGATACTATTTCTATCTTCCTGATTCTGTTGAGGTATGAAAAATCTTAAATTTTTTTTTAAATTTAATTTTATTTGAAAAAACATGATTTACAAACTTACTCATGGTTGGGTTTTATTTTTTTTGTTTTATTTTTTTAGATCTGGTTGGGTTTTAGACATTCAATTTTACAGCACCAATCACAGCACCAGTGCCAACTTCCTTCCACCAGTGTTCCCTTGCTTCCACCTTTGCCACCAGTCCCCACTTACCACTTTGACAGGCACATTTCAAAGTTCTGTGGTTGTAGTTTGGATCTCGTGTTTTCGTGTGGCTGAGTCTGTGCTTTGGGTACATCGCTATATCATTCTCCCATAGCTCTGGTATACCCAAGGCCCTGACTCCTGTTTGTTCCCCATCACTTCCCTTTCTCTTCTTCTTACCCACTTGATTTCTTTTTTGGGGGGAGGGGGGTCACACCCAGCGATCCTCAGGGGTTACTCCTGGCTCTGCACTCAGGAATTACTCCTGGCGGTGCTTGGGGGACCATATGGGATGCCGGGGATTGAACCTGGGTTGGTCGCGTGCAAGGCAAATGCCCTACCCACTATGCTATCACTCCATTCCCCCCCGCCCTTTGATTTCTTTCCTTTTCTGCCCTTCTCCTCCTCCCTAGACTCTGGGATCAAGGATGATCTAGACATCTCCCCATTTACTACATTACCTTTCCTCATCCACAGCTAAGTGAGATCATTCTGCCAAAACACTTTAATGAAGAAAGTTGTTTTAGAAAGCAAAACCTCTTCCCTTCTCCTTTTCACTGTGATTCAACAAAAACACACAAGTCCACTTGGCGTTTGTCACCAATGGGAAAGGCCTCGCAGGCTGACAGCAGAGGAGTTTATCTCTGAGAAAATTCAGTTTGAAACCCGAGAGTCCGTTCTGTGATGTCACAGAACAGCTTGCTTGCCAGCAGGTAGATGCTGGATCAATGTGGAATTCTAGCTGCCCTTGAAGACTGCTTCGAGGGAATATTTGAGACTTGGCTGCCTTTTCATCACCTCTTCAAGAGGTCACTTACCTCAGTCTCCAGAAATGAAAATTCTGACATCTTAATTTTAATGTGGGCATTTGATCCAGTGCTTGAGATAAATATAACCCTGTGTAGTATGGAGAAGGTTTAATGGGAAATGGTTGGCATTCTTCCTTGGTAAAGGCATGAGGGAGGGAGGGAGAGAGAGAGAGAGAGAGAGAGAGAGAGAGAGAGAGAGAGAGAGAGAGAGAGAGAGAGAAGAAGAGAAGAGGAGAGGGAGAGAGAGAGAGAGAGAGAGAGAGAGAGAGAGAGAGAGAGAGAGAGAGGCAAACAGCAGTGAGGAAGACCAGTGCAGAGTAGAGATAAGCGAGCCCTGGACAGTGGCCAGAGGCTGGCCAGTATGGTTGTCCTGAATCCAGTGACTCTGGGAATTTGTCTTCAGCTTTTCTTCCGTTTCCTCACATCTCAACCGACTGTCATCAACAGCGTCCTCCCAATTCCTGCAGGTAACGCCTGCCACAGCTCCATTCTCTTCCGTCTGTTGGGGGGTAGGGGAGGAAGGGAGATTCCTTTGCCACTTGTCTTCCTCTTTTCTCCCATTCTGCTCCCCGTGGCAGTACCCTGGGAGGGAGCCAGCCACCCCAGCGGCCTCCTGTCACCCGAGCTCATCTGGGAGCCCCAGCTCCAAGCCAGAGACCCTTAGAATAAAAACGGTTTCTGCCTTCCCCACTCCCGCTCTCCCAGTGGGCTGCATGATTTCATTTTGGATGGGGATTTGTGGGCGCTCAGGGGAGATGAGAGGACAGCCTGAGTTTTCTATAAATACACCCCGACCTCTTCCACAGGACATGACGGGGGGGGGGGTGTTGTGAAGTGAACATGCCTCTCTCTGGGCTAGGCCGTCCCCACGGAAGGGAAGGGGAATTGAGGTGACTCCCTGGGGTGCCAGGGACTCCTGAGTCACCTCAGGACCAGTTCCCCGAGCCGGGATGCCCTCATGCTGGGCTTTCTTCTGGGCTGGAACTTCTCTTCAGCTTCAGAGGTGGTGCCAGTGGTCCAGGGAGAAACGAACTTTGCGGGGAGAGGTGGAAGAGGGAGGGGTGCAGGGTGACAGCTAAGCCTGGAGTTTGGTGGGCGTCGGCCAGACACAGCCCTGGGTGTGTGTCCGTGTGCATGTGTCAGGACAGATTTTTTTCCTGCCCAAACTGGCAATGCTGACTGAGGGAACCAGCCACTGCCCTTGTCCTGTCTGACCCAGAGAGGGGAAGTATCTAGTTACACACCCATGGAAACTGTCCTGTAGAACTGCGGGTGTTTCTAGGGGGGGGGGGGCGGAGTGGGGGAAGAAGGGGGAGCAGAGGGCCCATCCCCCACCAGCCCCTTCAACCCAATTCACCCCACTCTGGCTCTTCTCGGTGAGCCCCTCCACCATGAGCCTCGTAGCTCCTGTCCCCAGCCAGCTCTAAGCCGCAGGTCTGAGTGTGGCCAGGCCCTTCCCATTCATAAAAACAGCTCCTGGCCAGGGGACGGGTGTGGAGATATTTATAGAGGGGTGAGGACCTGGAGGAGGAGGGATAAGAGTGGGGGTTGGGAAGGGTGTGGGGGAGAAAGGGGCCTCCATATAGGCATCTGCTTTTAACACCTCCCCCCAAAAATTAAAATTGAGAGCAAGTGGGTCTTTGTACCTTAAGTTCAGGGCAGGACGCGGATGTTAATTTGGTCTAGGCTGGTGGTTCCTAATCCTTTGGGCCATGGATTCCTTGGGGAATCTGCAGAAGCTTTGGGCCTGGAAGAACCTCTCGTCTCTGCCTTGCTCCAGGGGGGCTCTCTCTGTCCAGGGCAACCTCTGTCCAGCACCTCACCATAGTCCAAGGTGTGTGTGGGCACATAGAGCTGCACAACAAGCCTTGGGTGCGGGAATGAAGGCGCGAACCTTCGGCCCTAACTGTGCACTGGGGTTTCTCCAATTCCTGCCCCTCGAGTTGAACTGGGAAGAGAGTTCAAGTGAGAAGAATCTCTGAGTTCCTTGGAACACTTCGCCCTCGTGAGAGGCCAAGGCCAGCTCAGACAGGTGTGTCGTAGAGAAGGCTTTGAGCCGATGGGATGGGTCAGAGCATGAGCAGGCAGAAGAAGCCCCTCGGATGATGACTTTCAGGAAGAGACTTTCCAAGGTGTAGGTGGAGGGAGGTAGGCTGAGTGATAGCACAGCGGGTAAGGAGTTTGCCTTGCATGCGGCCGACCTGGGTTCTATTTCTCTGTCTTTCTCGGAGAGTCTGGCGAGTGTATCCCGCCCACATGGCAGAGCCTGGCAAGCTCCCCGTGGCATATTCGATATGCCAAAAACAGTAACAAGAAGTCTCACAATGGAGACATTACAGGTGCCCGCTCGAGCAAATCAATGAACAACGGGAGGACAGTGCTATAGTGCTTACAGGTGGATGGAGGAATGGGGGGATGCCTTGGTGGCCATCTCCTCCCTGGCACTTGAGAGGGCAGAGGAGGGAAGGGCTGAGTGGATCTGGGGAGATGCAAGGGCCACTCCCCGAGCAGGATCTTTGAACACAGGAGAACCCCAATCAATAGGAGGAAGTAGGGTGCACACCTGACTTCCTTGCCATCCACCACCCCCCCGGGCTGTGCTTCCCACTGGCCCAACCCAACTCCAAGGGCGTCCTTCGCTGCAGTCATGGGGACCAGGATTTGGGGTACGCAGTGACAGTCTCCATCTCAGATAGAATCGCGAGTCCATATAGCCACAGCCCTTCTCAGTGAGGTGCTAAATCCAGATTTCCCAGTTGGGTATGTGCTCTAGACATTTGTACCCCACGCGGGAGTCCGTGGCATGGATGGGGTATGTCACTCATGGGAGGCTGGTGTTTTTATCTGCTGTCTCCCGGCAATTCACTGGACTTCATCCTCCTCATGCAGCCCCCACAGCTTCTGGAGAGTGGGACATAAGCTGTGTCCCCCAGAAGAGAACTATTCCTTGACCCAGGGAAACAGTGATTCTCTAGAAATATTTCCTGGGGTTTGAACCTAGATACTCTACCCCCTCAAAAGAAAAAGAAAAAAGACAGGAAAGTGTAAGTATCACCTAAGTATTAAAAAGGAAAGATTGGGCTACAGAGGTAGAACAGGGGTTGGGACACGTGCTTTGTATGACCCTGGATCGGTTTGATCCTGGCACCATGTGAGCCCCAAGCACCCAGGGGTCCCCAGGCCTTGGGGCCTGGGCAGCACCTTTGTGCCTGGATCGCAGCACTCAGAGGACTGACCTGGGTGACTGAGCATCACTGAATGACCCTGAGTCCGCTATTACTCTTGTTCAAATTCCCATCCAGTGCCCGGGTCACTCCTGAGCACAGAGCCAAGAATAGTTCCCTGAGCACTGCCAGGTATGGCTTATCTTCTCCCCCACCCCCAAGCCTCACACCCCCTTCCTCCAAATCCTGATCCTTTATTACTGAAATTGTGTATTTTTAAAACTTTTTAAATTTTGATTATTTGTTATTGAATTACCATGAGCTACCATTACAAAACTTTCATGTTTGAGCTTGAGTCATACAATGATCAAACACCCATCCCTCCACCAGTGTGCATTTTCCACCACCAATGTCCCCAGTATTCCTCCCCCACTTCCGTCCCACCCCTCCCCCTGCCTCTATGGCAGACAATTTCTCTCTTTCTCTTTCTTTCTCTCTTTCTCTCTCTCTTTCTTTCTTTCTTTCTTTCTTTCTTTCTTTCTTTCTTTCTTTCTTTCTTTCTCTCTACTTATGGGTATTATGGTTTGTAATAACTGTGTTTTGGTTTTGCTTTTTGGGTCACACCCAGCAATGCTCAGGGGTTACTTCTGGCTCTGCACTCAGGAATTACTCCTGGCAGTGCACGGGATGCCAGGAATTGAACCGGGTTAGTCTTGTGCAAGACAAATGCCCTACCCACTGTACTATCACTCCAGCCCCTCTTCGTGTATTTTTAAGTCAGGTAAGAGCATGGTTTGGGCTGACCCATGCCAGGCCCGCCGATGCCTTTGAATCTTACAGCTCAGCTCTGAGCCCTCACCCCAGCTCCTCAGAAATGACACAGCTAGTAGAACGTGGCACCACAGACTCCAGGGCCACCCTTCGGCACATGCCTACTTCTGCTCAGCTCCGAATATCCTCGGTGGGTGTGCCAACACCACCACACTTCAGACCAACCAACAGGTGTTGTGAGGTGACTTGCCTATCATCCCACAGCTGGTATGTGGGTGGACTGAAGATTTATGCAATTAATTATTCAATTCGATTAAATGAAAATTTGGGTCTGGAGAAATTGTATAGTGGGTAGAAATTTTGTCTTGAATGTAGTCTACCTAGGTTCAATTCCCCGGCACCCCCAAATGGTTCCCTGAGCCCTCCAGGAGTGATCTCTGATCATAGCACCAAGGGTAAGCCCTGTGTATAGCAGGGTGTGTCCCAAGAACAACCAAACAAAAATTTAAATTAAATTTTAATTATTTGCAAGTGTTCTAAAGTTTTGCCCTCTACCTCAGTGTAAACCAGATCTACTTATTGATATGATAGTCAAATCCTTTTCAAAATAGTTTGATTTTATATCTTGGGGTCTGCCAAGAAATATTCAGGATACCTGAGGGCAACTACAGCTGCATTAGTTCTGGCATTGTGGGCCTAAAGACGTGGTGCTCAGGCCAGCAATGCAGTGCTTGGGGTGGTCACCAAGGATAGTTGGCAGGGATCCAGGGACCAGGTGGTGCTAGGGACTGAACTCGGGCTTCTACAAGCATGCATGTGCTCCAACCCTTCGAACTCTCTCCCCAACCTAATGACAATCATTTTAAGACCCCCACAAGTCATGTGTCTATGCTAGGGATCATATCCCTGGATTCTTTACCTTCCACTCCCTCCTACCTTCTCAGGAGTGCAACACCCAAAGTGCTTAGCAAGAGACTAAGGATTACTTCATACTAGAGTGTGCATGATTTGCCCGAGTGGATCCATCTCTCTTTGGAAGGAATTTGCATTTTCACATGGGTTCAAGAGACAAGCCGAAGGATGCTCTGACAAAATGAGCATCAACCAAGGTATTGAGGGCAGGAGGGCAGCAAAGATGAGGCTCTGGTGGCCATGGGAATGACATTTGCATAGACTTTAGTATTGGGAGCCAACCCACCCTATGCCCAGACAGATACCTGGTTCTCCCAGAAGGGTGGGAACTCCCTGGCTGATGTTGGGGTTCTGAGCTTGGGGACAAAAAGTGAGAAGACCCTCATCTGGTCCTGTAATCATTTCCACTAGCAACCCTCATTTACCTGAGAAATGCAACCCAGGCAAACACTTCATTCTGGTTTTCTTCCCCTTGTGTTCAGCTCCATTGAGATTCACGGCTCTTTGGTCTCTTGGCCTGAAGCCCGCTGGTCCAACTCTTCCTCTTCCTTCTTTAGCAATTGCAGGTCATTTCCCTCCCAGAACGTCCATGCTCTGCCATGACCAGGCTGAGACTCGCC